TTTTTTTTTTTTTGGAAACGGTGAACATTTTTTTCAGGATTCTTGGATGAATAAGTTCAAAAGAGAATAAAAACATTTTGTAACATAAATGTCACTTCTGATCAAATTTAATGCGTCCTTGCTGAATAAAAGTATTAATTTCTTCAAAAGAAAAAAATTATACTGGCACCAGACTTTTGAACGGTAGTGTATTTTTTTGTTTACTTGTGTTTTATGTATTGTAGAGTTTTTGGTCTTTAACTCAGTTTTCAGTCTAGTTACTAATCCATAGTTTGTTTCTGTGGGTATCGCAACATTCCTACAGCATTCATTCCCTGCTGAAAAGATCAGTATAACTGGTTTTAAATACTGATGTGCTGATGGTAGCCAGTAAGGTTTCCTTGGTCAACCTCCTTGATCGGCAAGCACACCAAACCAGCATAAACCAGCCTGGACCACCGTGGAAATTTACATGGCCCAAGCTGATCTTTTCAGTGGGTCTTTTAACAAAGTTTGTCTGTCTAGGTCCTGTCAGATTGCTATCCAGTGGCATTTTCAATGAACATTAATGGAGTTTGTTGTTGTAAACAGAGTGTGTCTTGCTCTTTCAGGCTCAGCTGATTCATGACAGGAACACTAAGTCCCATGCCACTCTGAATGACAAGGCCATGGCAACTTCTGACCGGGTCCATATGACCTGGACCAAAGAGAAGCTGATTAGTGAGAGAAACCGCCTTCGGGAGGCTAACATGACTGTGCGGGACATCTTCAATATGAAACCGTAAGTTCAATATAAAGACCGTAGATCAATAAAGTCAGTTTTGCAGTCTATCTGAATCTGTTTAATCATGTTTCATTAAAAAAAAAAATTAGCTTTTTTTAATGCTAAGACATTTTGTTTTGTCCTTCCAGTGAATGGGAGAATCTGTAAGTTCCTTTGATTCTTGTGCAAGTGGTGTGTGTGCTTAAGAGTCTTTATTAGCTGTCTGGTCTGTGTTACAGTAGTACAAATAAACAGAATGTGTTGCATGTGTGTCACACTAAACATGCGGCATGAATTGGTGTGTGTCTCTGTGTGTGGCCTGCTTAAGTCAGTGTGAGTCACAGTCACGGCACGAGTCAGCATGAAGCATTGTGACATAGATGTTTCTGTTTGCATGTGTTTCAACACTAACTTTGTGCTTGCTTGAGAGAATATCTACAGTTAGCCAGCTAGCATGATGGTATTATTTTTAGTGATAAGCTGCAGGATTTTGGCCATTAATTGTATGAATTAAGAGAATAAGTTGTTGTTGTGTTTAGTTTTTTGACGCTGTTGACATCGGTTTCTGCTTATTAACTCATGAAATACATTTAACGTATGGATGAATTGTACATTAATTTTATGTTTCACTCATTTAGGACTGTATGGCTTATTCAGGCTTATTTGTTTTCTAGCAAAATAGATGGTTGTTTTATGTAATCCTTTGCAAAGACTGGTCTTCAAGAAAATTCTGTGGTCTTAAACAGTTTTTTTTTATCACATCTCTATTAGTCAGGTTATCGTTAATTCCTATTAACCTTGAACCCTGCACTGTCTTTAAGAATAAGATATGGATATCAGCCTTTGAGCTCTGGATCCCTGTCATATATCAAACCATTTTCAAGGAAATACAACAAAATATGTTCACTGATGTCATGATGTAGTGAACAATCAAGTATGAATCTCTGCTGAAGTTATAGTACTTTACCAATTAATTCAGACATACACTAACCAACTACAAACATACACTACTATTCAAATGTTTGGAGTCAGTAAGATTTCTTTTAAAGAAAATAATACTTTTATTCATTAATGCATTAAACTTATCAAAAGTAACAGCAAAAACATTTACATTGTTACAAAAAAAAAATCAATTTCAAATAAATGCTGTTCTTTTGAACTTTCTGTTCATCAGTCCTGAAAAAATATATATAAGCAGCCCAGCTGTTTTCAACATTGATAATAATTGCAAAAAAATGTTTCTTCCGCACCAAGTAATGGAGTAATGACTGCTGCAAAATTCAGCTTTTCCATCACAGGAATAAATTACACTATAAATATATAATAAAAAAATATAATAATAAACTGATTTTGAAATTTGCAATAATATTTCACAATATTACATTCTTTTCTGTATTTTTTTTTTTTTTATCAAATAAATGCAGCCTTGGTGAGCATGAGAGACTTCTTGCAAAACCATTTTAAAAAAATCTTACTTAATGGTAGTGTATGTAAAAATAAACAAATAGTTAAATGGCATATACTTGTAAGATATTTTATGATTTCTTTTGATCTTAATTAACCATGAAGAAGGAAAAAAATTATTGAAATTTAAGAATCTACTGACCTGCACTGATCAGCATTAAAATGTAACTGAAAATTTAAAGTTGTGGTTAAATTGTGGTTGGTCTTTATCCTTTCATTTGTGTATTTTCAGTTATTTCATATAATGTACAATTTATATACTATTGCTCATGTTGCTAAACCACTGAGTCTTAATGCTAAATGTGAATGACTGAATTTCTCACAGGGATCAGACTAACGTGAGAAGAATGCACACTGCAGTCAAACTGAACGAGGTTGTAGTCAACAAATCCCAGGGAGCCCAGCTGGTGCTGCTGAACATGCCAGGACCACCCAAAAACAAGGGCGGAGACGAGAACTGTATCCTTTCATCAGCTGAAATGCAGACAGTTGCTCATCTACTTAAAAAGGGGCTGTTATATAGTTGATACGTAATGGAAAGAATAGATAACACGGTCTGTCATTTTCTTTCAGACTCCGAGCTTAATTCGTAGTGAGTTACAGTTTAAATGTCACCTTCATGTACAGCAGTCCTCCACACTTCTCCTTCACTCTGAGGTCAGACATGGAGTTTCTGGAGGTCCTCACAGAGGGATTGGACCGGGTGCTGCTGGTCCGAGGTAGCGGCAGGGAGGTCATCACCATTTACTCGTAGCATCATGCAGAATCAGACACTGAGGAGAGTATTTCTGTGAGGAGAGACTGTCCAGAGCTGCACAGATACTGTACAGATGGACTGAGGACAGGCAGTCCCACTCCAGCTGCAGGCCAGCGCAACACATTTGAGGGTCCAAGAGGATTCTTCTCATTTAGCGCAGTCCACTCATGATCGGATCGACAAACACATTTTAATACGAGGTGTAAACAGGGACCTTGGATGTGGTCCTTATTAATCATTTAAATAAAGACAGGCCAAAGACTTAGATTTATCCCATAAGACTTGCAGAGAGTGACATCAGCTGACGTATTGTGACTGTAAGGGACAGTGTTTGTAATTTATGTGTATTAAATGTATAGTTTTGCATCTCATTCTTCTGCATCGCATTCTCCTGCTGAGCTTTATGTACTGTGTGATGTTAGTTCGATTCATACGATTTTTGTAAGTTTTGATATCAGTGTTGCTCACATTGCGGTATGAGTAAAATTAAGATTATATCATCAGCCAAATCATATGGTTGAAATCTGTCAGTACTTAATGCATATTGCTTTTTCCCCTAAAATGTTTAATATTTAGTATTTTTTCATGACATGAAACCTTATTGGAAATATTTTTCTAAAAAAATATATATATATATTTTTTTTTCTCAGTGTGAGGAACATTTGAATGAAAAGAACATAAAGAACCTTTTTCCAGTATAAAGAATTATATATTTTAAAAAAGGTTCCATGGATGTTAAAGGTTCTTAATGGAACCATAGATGCCAATAAAGTAATAGATTTTTAAGATTGTCAGTGTCTATGATAAAGGTAAATTCAGTGTTCATAGAGATCTTTTATATGATTACAGTCCTAATTGGAATAGTGTAATTACATTATAAAATATATATAGTGACTGAATCGTTTATGCACTGCTGAATATTTTCTGAAAATGTTTTCATCAACAAACATGGACCTTATAATCTTGTATAAAACTCTGGCAGACAGGCCTGTTGCGCAGTCCATGCCCTCCTATCCAGTAGAGGGAGATGAACACAAACCATTAATAACTTCCATTGTGATGTTCTGATTTGACAGTGACATCTCAGCTTCTATTGACCAGACAGGACTGAACTTAATATGTTGGTTTGGTAACACTTTATTTTGATGGTCCCTTTTGAACATTCTGTTGACAATAATTAATGTTGCACCCACATATTATTTGTTATATAATTATATAAGATTTTATTATACATATACTATATACGATTTTATTCTAACCACAAAATATTGTTCATACTCACCAAAGAATACTGCCCGTGAAAGTATAGCGAATTTAGGGAATAACTATTCCCTTTACCCTGTAACACCCTAACTGTATAGGCTTAATGTGCCTTTGGTGTTTCACATGAGGCTCTATTTTGAGTTTATTCCCTTGGCAAGTTTTCTTATCATGTGGTTTGGAATGACTAATTTCAACAGCTCATAGTTATTGCACTTGTCCCGGTGAACACCAGTACGAAAAGACACTGTATCCAGAGCTATTTTTTTACCTCACCTGCCCTTACATAGGGGTAAAATGATTATATCTTTAACATGAACTCGTTTTTTTTTTACCAAGAGGGCTTTCTACTTATTTCAGCAAGAAAATGCAAACAATTAAAAATGCCAAATGGTGATATGATAATACATAAATAAAATTACATAAATGTGTCATTGGTTACAAATTGATATATGTATTTTTTGCCCATTAAATTTGATTTAGTAAAGAATAAAAATATTCTTTGAGGATTCCACATCTATTGTCATCCTTTGTCCACATCACATTGTCTTTCACCCCATAGACTGGAGATGTACTCTCAACATAACGGGTTCTTCTGTTCACAGCACTAGAAGATACAAGTGTCTTGTATACAAGTGATACTCTCGTCACATACCTCATGAATAATTAAAAATAAATGAAGTTCCTTAACGTAAGTTAGGGAGGAGCTAGCCCATCTAATCTTTCAATCAACAGCCAGGGTATATAAGCAGCTGCTTACCTCTCTCCAGTCTCAGCTGTTCCAGCATCCCTCCACCTCCCCAAAACTCCACCTTCATCTTAGGTACCTTGCCCTTCGTAATCATCCTATATCAAGTCCCTGGGGGGTATATCAGAGCTCGAGTTGAAGCTGCTTCATCGAGCCCCTCATCAGTGGACAGCAAGCCAAATAAGTTTACACACAATTTCCTTAAGATTATATGGGCAAACAAACTCGTTAAGTAGAATTTACTGCTGAGTCCATCTGCAATTCCAAACCAGTGCAAACCTGACCTCTAAGCTGACTTATTCAGCATGGCATCTGAACATTAAGACATGTTATGTACCTCCACACTGTTTACTGCTATAGTAACCAAAATAATGTCATAGGTTCAGAAGAGGAAACAGACCCTGCATTCACAGAACTGGAAGGACTGACACAGTGTGACCCGAGAGGAATTTCATTTCGTGGGATGTGACTGTATTAGCTGGATGAGGGCTGCGTAGGGCAATACAAGCACTGAGGATGTCAATTACACAAAATACTGACCTCACGCTTTTCAGCATGCACCATTTATTACAGTGGTCAAGCCCAGAATGTAGTCTGTAATCACAGAGAAGACCTTGTGTCTTAATGACTGTGGATAAATCTGAAAGAGTGGTCTTGATTTACAATCTAAAATGGAAATTAAGTCAAGACATCCTGGTTAATGTGTAGCTGACTCTAATCGAATCAGAGCAATTGAGGAACATAACATGACACAGTTACCAAAGAATGTTCATTTTTCTCCTTGAGGTCCACTGATTATGTTAGTCGTCGTGTGTGTGTGTGTGTGTGTGTGTGTGTGTGTGTGCCAAAAAAAAGGAAAATTTTCCACCCTCTCTCTGAACTTTAAAAGGGCGTTTTTTTGCTACTGTTACTTTAAAACTTTTATGTAAACTTCCTCTTCACATGAGGAATAAGATTTGCTCGTTCTCAATTATATGGTTTTATCATGATTTAATGGCGCATGGCTCCAGAGTGAGTCACATGGCATTTAGAGCTTAGTTGATTGGCTCAAAAATTATGTTAAATTTTAAATTGAAAAAGCTAAACTTTTCACAATGCATTGAAATCTTTGGTCACACTTTATTTTAAGGTCCAGTTCTCACTATTAACTAGCTATTAACTATGAATTTTGCCTCAATAAACTCCTAATTACTGCTTATTAATAGCTAGTAAGGTACCTGTTTAGGTGTTGGGTAAGATTAAGAATGTAGAATAAGGTCATGCAGAATAAGTACTTTATAAAAAATAATAAACAAGCTAGTAATAGGCATGCTAATAAGCAACTAATTAATAGTGAGAATTGGTCCCTAAACTTAAGTGTTACCAAATCTTTTAATCTCAGTAGACATTAATTGGCCATGAAGTCCTGCTCTTTATGCTAGTTAAACTAATTAAGCAGCCTGGTACAACATGGAGACATCGGCACAACAGCATCCCAGTGTTTCAGAAGGCATCCTTGAAATTCTATGTGAAATTCTATGTGCTTGAGTTGCACACCATCAGAGCGGCTCTGATTATATGGGCAAACGATAAGTCAGACATAATTTTTCCATCAGAGTCCGTTAGAATTCATTTGAACCAACTTTACCTTTCAAAAGTTTAGAGTCAGTAAGATTTTTTAATGTCTTTGAAAGAAGTCTCTTATACTCACCAAGGCTGCATTTATTTGTTCAAAACAGTAATATTGTGAAACATTATAATAATTAAAAATAACTGTTTTCTATTTGAATATATTTTAAAATGTAATTAATCGATGTTTGAAATATAAATCTTTTGTAACATTATAAATGTCTTCATTTGATGACATTATAACATTATAAATGTCTTCCACAAGAGAAATGTCTGTCTCTTTTTTTCCATTGAATGCGTCCTTGCTGAATAAATATTAAAACAAACTATAAAATCTAGAAATAAATCTTACTGACCCCAAAGTTTTGAATGGTTTTTTGAATACCCTGCCTAGACATCTTAAATTATGAGAGTCCAATTTAACACAAATTTACAAGATATAATGAGATTTCAATTTTAGTTTCTGAATGTAATAAATGTAACTCATGAGAACTGAAAAGCCTGTCAAAGCTTTCAGTAGCAACTTAGTCAGTAAAGACTTATGAGAATAAGAAAGGCAGCTGTTTCCCATGTTCAGATGAGAGACACTGACTTTGAAGATGTGGAAGTTGATCATAGAACACTTCAACAACATCAAAAATGTTTAAACAATCTTATGTTAGTCTATTGAGCCATCAGAATGTTGGGAAACACATCTGTCAGTATTTGTTTGTATATATTAGAATGAAACCAAGAGTTTTCTATGACAAATCCAGGAACTGACCGCTCCTTTGAGACATACTCTCACAATTTCTTCCACTAATCTATATAATGTTTATGTTAGACATTGAACTTGGGTAAATAGAAATGTGGGTAAATACAAATTTCAGTATTATGGACTAATTAACTGTTCCCCACAATACTGATGTGATCATTGAAAGAACATGCTAAATTCTTGCTCATGCTCTCAATTAAGGCTGGAATTTTTGTTCCAATTTACAGCTGGACGAGTTGATGCTAGTTGCCGAACGTCAGAGCCAGCTTGTATGTTTGAGTTGACAGATTACACTGAAAATCGTGGCCACAGACACATTTTAAACTTCAGCCTATGTTTCCGTCCAGTCGGAGGATAAGCTATCAAACATGTTTGATATTTTGAGCCGATTTCAGAACACATTATTTTAATTTGTCATGTGTTCACATGTCATGCCTAGTAACTAAGGAGGCATATGTTTTGTTATATGTGTTGTTCAGGACAACCTGTGTAGTAGTGTGTGACCTACTACAGTCGCTCAACTTAGTCGTTTATGATGCCCAGTTTTGCCTCCATTTACAAAGGCGGCAACTATGATGCATGTTGTTTTAAAATCTGTTCAGATTTTAAAAGTCGTGTAGTGTATTCCAGCCTTTTCTGGTTCAATCTACTGAATACCATTTGATGTTTCACATTACCTGTAAACATCTATTTGGAACTCTGTACAAGCTACCGGCATATGCTGCAGGACTTAAAGGGTTAGTTCACCCAAAAATGAAAATTAGCCTGTGTTTTACTCACCCTCGAAGCATCCTAGGTGTATATGACTTTCTTCTTTCAGACGAATCCAGTCGGAGTTATATAAAAAATTGTCCTGGCAAGCTCTAACATTGCAGTCAGCGGGTGTTGCAGTTGAACAGTCCACAAGTCGTCAAATAAAGCATGCACATCCATAATAAAACGTGCCTCACACGGCTCCGGGGGCTGAATAAAGGCCTCATGTAGTGAATCCATGCATTTTTGTAAGACAAATATCCATATTTCAAACGTAATAAACACTTTTCTCTCACTTCTGGTATCTGTCAAATGCGGAAGGCGTTCCGGCGGATGACGCAGGTCGTATGCACCTCTGAGATATGCTAGGCTCGCGAGTTTGTTTATAGGAGCAAAGGAAGCAAAGTTTCCTTACTTTAGCCTCCTCTTGGTTTATATCGAAATCATCCGACATTTTTCTTTACAAATCCTCGGTTTGTA